GAGGCCGCTTGGGAGGGGAGAACGGCAAAGGCCTCACCCAGTCCCAACCCAGGGAGGTGCCTGGCTAAGACAGGAGACTGGGGAGCAGCCAACCCCATCCCAGCCCAGCGCCACCTCAGACCCTGCTGCCGCGGGATGCCGAGCACTGGGCAGTGCCACACGCCTGTTTGGCCAAGGCTCGGGGCCTGGCGCCTCGGGGCCAAAGGACAAGGTGCTGCGTGCCTGGCCCCACGTCTCCATCAGATACGGCTGCGATAAGGCAGGGAAGGGCCATGGAGGGCCCGGGCTGGGCCACGGTGCCACCACCACTGCAAATATTTGTTTTGGCCCCACATAGGATGTGGTCTCCCAGGAAGGTTTCTCCCTGTGGTAGCCAGCTCTGAGCTGGGGCTGCCAGCCCACATCCATGTCTCTGGAGAAGTGGTTCTTGTGCCCTTGCAAACCCTTTGGCTAGCAGCCCCTGGGGCACAGGAGCCCCCTGCAGAGCCTGTGCAGCCTGTGCTGCATCCTTGCAGGAGTGGGGATGCAGATATGCTCCCCAGACAGGGCTGGAGTCCCCCACACAGGCAGGGCTGCACCCTGACATTTACCTCGTGGCATCTGGAGCTGCCTGTAATTTTTCAGGTGCTGACACCCTAAATTGCTGCTCTTGGGCATTCATGGGAGGCAGCTGAAGCCAGGCTGAGCAGGAGCAGCAGCACTCAGCCCAGGATTTGGCTGGTCATCCAGAGCCTGCTGCTCTGCTCCACCCTCAGCTCTCCAGGTAATCCCCTCTGCTGCGTGTGCCAGGACTTGGGAGACTGCATGGTCCTGGCCCACATGTTGGTGAGCCCAGAGCCTCCACACTGCCCCAGTGTGGGTCTCCCCAGGTGCTCACTGGGGTGACAGTGTGTCCCACAGTCCAGCCAGAAGCCTAGGACTGTGCAGTGCACAGGTCCTGTCCCAGGACAGTGCAAGGCATGGTTGGGCTGGGCATCTCCACACTCCTGTCCCCCTCAGCTGTCCCTGGCACCTCACAGGGCACTGCCAAGGCATGGAGGGGCTGTGGGTGCACGGTGTCCTGCTGCTCTGCCTGCTGCTGTCCTGCCCTGTGGGGAGCCAGACTGGACCCAGTCCCGACCAGCAGTGGTGGACAGATGATGAAGAGGCCCCAGCCCGGCACCAAGCTGCCAGGTGAGGGGACCCCAGGGCCAGGGCACTGCAAAATGGGGGCCAAGGCAGCCTTGGTGCCGCAGAGGGCCCCCGCCCCCTCCGTAGCTCCCTGTTGGGCTTTGCTTTCTGCCTTGCCAGGGCCACACGGGAGCAGAAGGCTGATGGTGCCCAGGAGGGGCTGCCCCCCCGGCCCCGCTGTGTCCGCTGCTGCCCCCCGCCCGACCAGTACCAGCCTCTGCCTCAGATCAACATGACCATCCTGAAAGGTGAGGGCTAGTGGGACCCCACTCTGTGTGCCAGAATCTGTTGCCCTACAACTGGGTTCCCAGTGCCAGCTCTTGCACAGACTGGGAGCAAGAACCTGAGGTGGTACCTGTGGTCCAGTGCCCTGCATGAGCAGAGGGCAAGAGCCACGCCAGGGTATGAGCAGCCACTGCTCTGGTGGCCTCTGGGCAGCAGCATCAGGGGAGGGGGGTAGGGGCAGGGCAGGACTGGGACATGCCTGCTCCCTCCATCCTTCTCTGTAAGGCAGACAGGCTTTCAGGGTGTGGGTTCAGTACTGGCCCCCACCTGACAGTCCAGCTCTCCCTCCTGCTCTGCCCAGGGGAGAAGGGGGACCGTGGCGAGCGTGGCATCCAGGGCAAGTTTGGCAAGACGGGGGTGGCCGGCAGCAGGGGCCACGCAGGGCCCAAGGGACAGAAGGGCAGCATGGGCGCCCCGGGGGAGCGCTGCAAGAGCCACTATGCCGCCTTCTCGGTGGGCCGCAAGAAACCCCTGCACAGCAATGACTACTACCAGACCCTCATCTTCGACACGGAGTTTGTCAACCTCTACAGCCACTTCAACATGTTCACGGGCAAGTTTTACTGCTATGTCCCTGGGATCTACTACTTCAGCCTCAATGTGCACACCTGGAACCAGAAGGAGACCTACCTGCACATCATGCACAACGGGGCAGAGGTAGTGATCCTCTACGCCCAGGTGAGTGACCGCAGCATCATGCAGAGCCAGAGCGTCATGCTGGAGCTGCGGGAGCAGGACGAGGTCTGGGTGCGGCTCTACAAGGGCGAGCGTGAGAACGCCGTCTTCAGCGATGAGTATGACACTTACATCACCTTCAGTGGCCACCTCATCAAGTACAGTGGAGACCCCTGAACACTAGCCCCCCCCAGCTCCTTCTGCACCAGACCGGGTGGCCAAGGAGCCCCTGTGCCCTCTCATCCTGGGCAAGCCACCCCCATTATGCTGTTAGCCACCCACCCTTCTGCTACTACGCTCAGCACCTGCCTCAATGTGTGAATTCCCCCACTCCAGCTTCTTGAGACCGATCAGAAGCACCTGGAGGAGCTGGAGCCATTTCCAGCCTCTGCCACATTTGTGACTGGGAAGCAGCTGCTCACCTGGGGTGGGCAGGGAGCCCCTCCCACCTGCTCCATAGCCGGGTTTGCTGGGCAGAGCCCACTGTGGCACTGGCTGAGCTGGCACCAGGGGAACAGCATGACTGCTGGTGCCCTGGTGCAAGCCAGCGCAGACACGTGCACTGTGTTCCTCCTCCATGCACCATGCTGTGTTCCCTGCCTCAAATGGGCAGAAGGTGCTCAGCACCATCAGGAAAAGCAATGAACCACTAAGGGCCCCCTTTCCTTCTGCAGAGCTGGGGGCCTGTGGGGTGGGCATCGCAGCATGGGGCTGGGTACCCTTGGTGGGAATGGATTGCGTCAGTTCCCTCTGCAGGTCCCGTCACTGCTTGCCACAGCCTCTGCTAGGGAGGGGCTGGCTCCCCACCGGCAGCCCTGACAGAACCTTTGGCCTCAGCCACTTCCTCTTCCGTTAGATTATCTGATGGCCAGGCTTCTTGTTTGTGTAGATGCCGCAGCAGTGTGGGGCAGCATTCTGACCTCCCTGTACAGCTCATGCTACATTAAACACCCCACGTTTCCAGCCTTGCTCACATCCTCAGTGTCCTCTTGCTTTGTGTGTATGGAGGCTCCAAAGGGCTCACGACAGATTTCTGCTTCTGGAGTGCTGGGGCTTCCTGAGAGCTGTGGGCTGGTACGGTGCTGTCGGGCTGGGAGTGGAGAGGGAAGGGCAGACTGTCCCTAGAGAGACAGGGATCCTGTGCTGGGTCTGCACGGGATCGGCTGTGTCCTGAGGGCTGGCAGCTGAGCACAGTGACAGAACTGTCAGCCTGGGAACAAGGCAGGCTGGGGAGGGTTGCCAAGAGTCCAGGTCATCCGGCCACAGAGAGGAGACAGGTCTGAGGTGAAGCTGGGAGTCAGGGTCTGGAAGGGCAGGTCCATGGCTGGGCTGATCAGGGCTGCAGCTGGAGACCAGCACCTCAAGCACATCAGAGAGAGGAGTGGGGGCTCAGGCTGAACTCAAATAGAGCCCTGGCACCATGGGTGGGGAGGTGGGGGATGGAGGATGTCCAGGTGAGGCTGGTCAGGGCATCCACTGCTGTGCCTGTGTGGTGTGGGCAGCAGGGCCCCAGCCCAGTCCCATGGCAGGGCCAAAGTCTCGTGGCAGCACCAGCCCCTCAGGACCAGCTACCATCGCCATCCCAGTCTGCACAGCAGGGTCTGCTATGGGACACAGTTTGCATCCCAGCACACAGATCCTATCCTGGGACACATGTTCTATCTCAGGACACACAGCCCAGTCCCAGTACAGGTGTCTCATCCTGGGAGACACATCCCCATCCTGGGACACATGGCCCCTCATCCCAGCACACTCGTGCCATCCCAGGTCGCATGTCCCATCCCAGAACATAAAGTCCACCCAGAGACATGTGGTTCCATCCCAGGTCATGTATCCCATCCCAGGACACACGTCCTATCCCAGCATACATGTCCCATCGCGGGAGACACGTCCCCACCCCAGGACTCACGCCCCTACTCCAGGACCCGCGGTGCATCC